CGGGTGGACTTTCACGCAGAGATTGGATTCCGGAGTCGAAGCGTCGCGTACTGTATGCAGAAACGTGTTGTCAGAAGGTAGTTTGGATGGTTTGGGTGTTGTGGTGGTCGTGTTGTCAGCGATGTAATGGGAAGGATCATGAGGCTTGGTATCTTATGTCTACTGATGTTAGAAGACAGATGATATTCGCGTCATGTCTACGTAACTTGAAGACATTGTTGTCTACGATTCATGAGGAAAGTGTAGTTGATGCACGTTAAAGGAAATCTTGCAAAGGATAAGCCGGTGAAACACTTGGCAAAGGGGTTGCTCAACTACCAGAAAAGGTGACAAACACTTGAGATGTTGCATGATGTCGCGGCGCAACGTTTGCCAGTTGATCTTTTAAAAACCATCCGAAGCCTGCATTTTAAACCGCGCGACGCCTGGGTCAATCGCTTGAAAATGGGTGAGAGGATATGATAGATGCAGGGCACTCGTGGATGACTGTCCATACTGTTCACCCTAGATCTCATTAGGCCTACGCCAACCCAACTTGCACCCGAGTGATAAACATCATCCCCTTTGGAGGCCATTGCTTTTAGGTTGGAGGCTATTGCTATCAGGAGCAAGGACGCTACTAGAGGCTCCTGGCCTTACTACTAGGAGCAAGAAGCTACTAGGGGCTCCTGGCATCACTACTAGGAGCAAGGATGCTAGTAGGTTGGAGGCTATTGCTATCAGGTATGGTCAGATCGCGGTTAGTTCCACCCGAGGCCTCCTGAGCGTGGGAGAGCTGTGCGGCAGCCCGGTGCAGCCCGGTGCAGCGGGAATGAGGTCAATGAGGAGCTTTCGGAACGCCAGAAATGTGTGGTGGGCCAGTATGGGCACCTGTAGCGTCCTTGCTCCTAATAGCGATGCCAGGAGCCCCTAGTAGCGTCCTTGCTCCCAGTAGTGGGCCAGTATGGGCACCTTGCTCATCGCTCTTTGACTTGGATCATTTTTTATCAAAACATCATCTTGAAATGGTTTGACGGTTTTGGCCGGTTTGGGTGTGGGAACCGAGTTCCCTCCTCTGTGTGAATCTACGGAGCAATGGCATACCAGTGGACGAGTGAGTTCAAAGCCGTGCCTTCATAGTGTCTTTCTTTTTCTCAATCGTTTCGACGTTTTGACCTCCAAAATCGCTTCTTGTTACTACTAGTAAGGCACTTGTTACTACTAGTAAGGCACTTGT